CAACGCATCAAGTGAAAAACAATTGAGCATTGAGGAATCGTTGCTCGTAAAGCGATCAGTAAATTTTGCCTATAGATGAGCAAGATACTTGAAAAGGTCTTTTTAGGATTTTTCTCAGTTTCATAGGCTATCTAATGGAGATTGCGGTCAGTAACATCATCGAGCAATTGGACAATAATGAGCAAATAGAACTGGTATACTGTTACATAGTAACAAAGCATAACTAAGATTTTTCGGAAAAAAAAGTTATTTGTTATTTTTTGTTATTAATAACAATAACAATAAATTCACACCCCTAAAACACAGTGATAAAATATGTTTAACAGAATTTCTGCCAAATAATTAACGTAGAAATCGGCATTGTATCTTTTACATGTGTCACTTCATATACGTGGTTTAATGCCTATAAAGATCAATTCTGCATAAAAATTATATTATACTTTTATAATCCAAATGAAATATCAATTTTAGAGAAATAAAAGAAACAAAATAGAATTTCTACTTGAATTATGAGAATAAGATCGCATTTCGTGACAATCGATCATTTTGCTTTTTGAAACGACGAATTTTATGCTGCAAAAACAAAAAATAGCGTAATTATGATACCGGTTCAGTCTTTTTCTAACTACAATGCATTATAAAGAAATTCAAATCGAGAATCTGAATCCACGTTGTTTAACATATAGGTTGACTATTGACATTTTTAACAATAAAAGTCATAGTACTTATACTACTTCTAAAATGAGAGTAAAGTCAATAAGAGAACCATTATTATTAATTCAAGAATATTCTTTTACATAAATACTAATTTAAAAAGATATTATTTTTCCAATATATCTTCAAGGATAGAAAAGAAAATGCTTCCTTCCATCGCTATATACAATATAACTTCATCGGCTTGATATTCCAATCTTTTCTACTATTTTCTTTTCAAAGAAACTCCTGTGCAACAAACACTGATTTGAAGTAGATCTATCTCGTTTATAACCAGTAGAAAAAAAAATGATACATTATGGTGACTTAACATACATGTATGAAATAATGCTTCTTATTTTGTCTAGTAAAACATTGATTTATGATCGTGTATCAATTAATAAACATATAAAACACGTTGCAGCTCTACTTATTCCAATGAAACAGCATCTAAATTCAAATATGGGTTCATTCTACAGACGACAATTATGATTATCATCGTATTATCTACAATCAGCCATCGTTTATTAGAAAAATCTAATTCCATGTATCATAACTCGAAACAAAACAATATCTTGTTTTTCGCAAATCGGTTAAAACCAATTGATCGAAGAATTTTTTAAAAGATTTCGGCCAATAATACTCATAAACTTATACAATATAGAATGTTTAGCATTCAAGTATTTGACATTACGTAGAGTATAACAGATTTTGTTATATGTGTTTAATAAATGCTTTCGTTTGATATTTAATTAATTCCTCAAGTAATGTCTATACATGGATTACTTTTCCATTTACAATAAAATTTCTTCATTCTGATTGAGAATTTCGAAACGAACTTTTTAATGTTTTTCCTGCTAGTTTGTCTTTTACTCGATCAAGAATGAATTAAAAATATTAAAAAAATCATGTTGTGACAACAGACGCTCATATTTTTAGTGTATGTATGGTATAATTGAATCAGCACACTTTTTTTTGCCTAGAGCAACATTTGATTTGACGGCTACATTCGGTAGGACTTTGAGATTCCATATGTCTTTCAATACTGTGGCGTCTGATGTCTCCTTCATAAGAAATGCAAAAAAAACATTCGTCTCTATAGAATATACTTCTCTGTAAATATGGTAGAGCATTTGGTATAATATGCGCTCTTCATCTACTAAGCGTCTAACTGCCAAATTCTCTTACTTTAGTCCATTACTACTGTTCTCTACAATTATTTTATAATGATAAGAACGATAATATAAATGAGTCATTCTCTCGAACTATTATTACCAACACAATAATGATTCTTTCTATGGTGTAGCAAAGAGAGCTCTACATTGATTGTTTTTCTTTCTTTTCTCTGAATATTTATATTCATATGCCATCGGTCTTAGACAAAATATCAATTGATCTATAAAAGAAAGTAGCAGATGAAAACGACTATTGAGACTGCAAATATGTTGACTCGAGTCGCTGTTATAAATGTTGTGTTAGTCTGTTGTTTTATCGTATCGGTCAATAGCTGTAGTTGTTTAAGTGGAATTCCACTTTCAACAAGTTTCAATGCAACTACATATATCTTCATCGGAAAAGCAATTCATTCAGCATTTGAACATTCAAGTGCAAATCTAAGAATCTTGTTCCAAGTGGAAGAAGTATTTAAAGGTCCATTATCGATTGGTCAAAACATCACTATTAATACTAACATGTTTTCTGCTGCGTGTGGTATATTTATGAGTACAGGTGAACGATGGCAAATTTGGGCATATGGAAGTCAAGATGGACCTACAACACATCTCTGTAGTCCGACAACAACAAATGTAGATAAAAATATTGATTATCTTCGACAACGTGCGTCATCAGGTTATTGCGATCGACAGTCAACTAAGACGATAATATTGACACTTTTCTTCTCACTTGTATGCTTTTTTCTCTTCGACATCTAATTACTTGTAGCATAAGTGTGGTTTTGAAATGAAAATATTTCTTATAGAACAGTTTGATCAAGATTATAACACTTTAGAAAAGTAACTATGGTGCACACGAAAAATATATTTGATATTCAGAATTCGAGAATATAGTGTAAATAGAAATGCACAATAATTTTATCTAGCATGTGTCTAACAGTTTTAATGAAAGCAAAATCCTTGATTTCCTCTAATGGTAGAAACATTAAGATCATAACGGTCTTTGCTTTTTCTGTTATCTTGGTATCTGTCGAAGTGTAAGTAAATGAATACTGTAATTCAATTCAGTCAATATTATGTTTAATATTGTTGTTTTCTATAAGATACAACGTTTGTAAGTGTTGCTTAACTCAAATATACAATGATTGGTTTTTCTGTTACTGATACAGAATGGATACTTCCTTAATTATGGATACGAATGGTCAACTAAGATACAGTACCCGTCAGAAGTCCCTGGACATGTCAAAATTCAGATAAAGCTGAACCAATTTCCATGAAATTTTTACCAAAGATAGAGCTCTCAAAACTGTGATCGCAAGCATCAACCCGAGCCTCGATTAACTGATACAGGATAGAGTTTGGTTTGAAACAATACTTTCAACTTTCGTGACTTTGATCTCAACATTCAAAGAATTTTATCAATTTCTTCCATTTATTAATTCAAACTGGGTTGTTTTTCGCATTTTTCTACGCAACTTTCATACAAACGAAATTAAAACTTACGTCAAAGATGTGAGAAACCATTCGATTTGAATGGATAAGTGACAGAAGTTGATAAAATTCTTTGAATGTTGAGATCAAAGTCACGAAAGTTGAAAGCATTGTTTCAAACCAAACTCTATCCTGTATCAGTTAATCGAGGTTCGGGTTGATGCTTGCGATCACAGTTTTGAGAGCTCTATCTTTGGTAAAAATTTCATGGAAATTGGTTCAGCTTTATCTAAATTTTGACATGTCCAGGGACTTCTGACGGGTACTGTATTCATTCTCAGATTAAAAAAAAAACTTTCTGAATTTGTCTTGATTACAAAAGTGCATGTGCTTTAGGTGAATGATTATACATTTCAGAAGTGACGAAGTTATTCCGATTGGCATCATCTATGATTGAAGCGTGTGCAGATGATAATAGATCATCTTTGACAAAAACTTCATTGAAAGATAATAAAGTAGTAGCAACTAACCATTGACGGAAATATGAGTAAGTCAGGCGCTGGAGTACGAATGTGGTTGTGTGCGATGATAGCGTCCAGGAAAAAATAAAAATATCTTTGCTCTAAAGTTTGACAACCACGCATGAAGAATCCGTCTTCTACTTTGTGATTTATAGGATTATTTGTGTTTCTCAAAATATAGACATTTGCATCGAAGTTTTGATTAAAGTTATCATAGAAATCTCGGTTGAATGTTCTTTGGAAGGCGAATTCTATTGTTAAAGATGTAAGATCGGCTTTGAGTTATATTTGTTTTAGCAATTCTTTTTTTTATTATTAGTTATAAACAATGCGATAAAATATTTCCTTTGCATGTTCAATTTAAAAAATTTCATATTATAATCAATAGAAAAAAAATTTCAAATACATCTTAGCCCTATTCATTTATTAACACAATGACGTTTACTGTTATCAAAACGAATTGAGTCATACGAAAATAAAACATGCTTATTAAATTGAAGTACTATTGGCATTGTTGAAATAAATACTGCAAATGTTCTTGAGAATCTACACATTCCAGAGATAAAGCAAACAAAAATCAGAATCATATATGTCTAAGAATAGGTCGTTTTGTTATGTCCTTGAAAAGCCAGCGTTTACTGAGTAAAGCCTATTATAAATACTTATGGTGATTATTATACTACCATGCTCTATACCAAATAGTATTTCCTATATCTTTTTTTTTCAATGAAAGAAAATTTGAAAAAAATAACATTGCACTACCTCATGCTTTATGGTATCTATATTTTATGATATGAATTGATTATTGCAATGACTATCCTTCACTTGAAACAGAGAGATATGTGTAGTAAAGCTTTACTAAACTAAAAAGCATTCTTCTTACAATTCTTTTCGCATTTGTCGAATGGAGAGCATAGAGATACTTTTTTTTGTTGATCAACTTTAATATTATGTAAAATCATAACTAGAAACTGAATGATAATAACAAAAACAGTACAAAAGAAGAAATTCTTACAATAATTAAAATAAAACTTAACATTCATCAAAAGAAAAGCAATAACAAAACAGCTAGATTAAATAAATATGATATTATTTCTTCTTCTCTAAAACTACACCATATTTTAAATCTTTCATTTTTGATTGTTTATTTTGATGTTTTACTTGTTGATATTTTAGTGATTTTTTAAAGATTTTGAGCTAGAAATAAATAAAGATAGTTTAATTATACTATCTATAACATGATTAAATTTATTAGAAGAAACACTTACCAAGGAATTGACGGAATTCTCCTTGATCAAGTGTGCCATTACGGTTGGTATCAGCAGCAACAAAAGCAGCATCAACTCCACCTGCAGCACCAATTGAGTAGCCTGATGCTCCCCATGATGATGCACCATAACCAGCACCACAACCGGCTTCTGCACCACTTGTTGTGAAGCCTGATGATTCGAATGGTGATGAGCTATATCCATCACCAAGAGCAAGATCTGCATCAGCAACTTCAGCACCACCACCAGCAACTAAACCTGCTGAAGCACCCCATGCTTCTTGACCATAAGCAGCAGCGGTATAACCAAAGAAACCTGGAGCTGACTATAAATGTAGAAACTTGTTTTTTTGTACGGAGAAACAAGAATAATATGATAAACTCACGATATCTTCAACGACACCAGCAGTACGAGGGTGTGGGGTGTGGGTGTTATTATCAGACCCACACCCACACCCACCCCACACCCACCTACACCCACA